TCCAAGGAGGAGACACAAAGTGCTAATTAAACTTGCAGAGCTAAGAAAGCCATATATATTGTAAAAGAGGTTCTTGCTGAGGGTGTCCTTCATTCCCTCCCAAACCTCCATACCCTGTTTATTTTCTTACATATTGCTTATCACACATCTTCTACACTCGCATTATTGATTTTATTTTCTATGTTGAGTAGCTTATCTTCCTCTAATTAAATGGCCAACTCCTTAAAGGGCAGCCTTATCTGATTTACTGAGATATTCCAAGTTCCTGAAATAAGCCTGGCATATTCAGAATTGCTCGATAAATATCTGTAAGTGAATTGAATAAAATCGGGATCCACTCCTCATTGCTTCTTATGCCACTTTAAATTCCCCTACAGTTGCTGTTTTATGACCTTCTTCCTTATTTCTCTGCCTCTTTTTCACTTTAGTCATGTTCATTATTATTTCTCATTTCCCTGAATTCTTATCTTTCCTCAACGCCACTGACAACCAAAGTAAATGCTAAATTACTTTCCCTTTTCAAAGGACTCTGTTACAAACCATGGACTTCTTAAATAATCTAATTATTTTTATGATGATTTTTTATGAGCACTGCTTTAATTCTTCCATAGCTATTTCTGCACTCAGTATCTGCTGAAAAGTTAATGCAAATCTTGCTTGAATCTTCCCTTTAACACCCAGCACGTGGTTAGAACTTTAAACTTAGAATCTTCACCTAAAGGAATGAGTAGCAGATTTTTATTACTATGTGCTTCAGGAGCCTGAGGATGGGGAAGCAGAGTGAATGCTTAGATGGTTTTCCACAGGGAATCGTCAATGTGCTTGTTAAAAATGCCATCACTCACAGCCAATCTTCAATCAGGCTCAGTTTGTACTACACAATGTTGTCTAGGAACTACTGAGTTAGGGAAGGATGTTTGGGGGCGCCACAACAATGAAGCTGCGTCAGAAAGAAGCCCAATAACCCCTGGACCCCCCAACTGCAAATATTTTTTAAGTTTTAGCTAAGATTAGCTCGATAGGCCGGGGGCCAGATTTCCTCACTTCAACTTCAGCAGGAATTGGGATATGTGACCTTAGTTTTCTTATGCCTAACAGCCAGAGTATTTGCAACTCCTTAGATTTGAGCAATGGAATAAGTTGTACTATTTAAGTTACCCGGAAGTGGTCTACATATAAAGAGAACTTTCATTAAATGCTCACCATCCCCCTCTCCTCCACTCTGTAGTTGCCTCCTACGTTTGTCTCCTAAAATGAGGGTTATTTAATAGGATCTGTCAGGATTCTTTTCTTTTTCCCTAAAGCTGACAGTTGCAGCCACTATCAACCTCAAAATGCATTTATGAGGAAAATCTGTTATTCCACCCTTCAATCAATCCAATCTACACTAAACCCAGCAGTAAATTTTCCCACATTGCTTTATTCTTTTGCGTCTATTAATCAGTTATAGAGAATGTGTATACATACCTATGCCTAAATAAATGTTTTTTTTGCGTTACTGGTGCTTTGAACTCCAGGGGCCTAAAACCATGAGCCAACCTCTCCACCAGCCCTTTTTGTGTTAGGTATTTGTTGTGGATTAGGTGTCCTCTCGAACTTACTTGCTCAGCTGTTCAAACCCACGATCCTCTGATCTTCTGCCTCCTGAGTCCGCTAGGATTACAGGCATGAGCCACTGGTGCCTGGCAAATACTTTCCTTCTTAAAACTCTCTGGGATTATTTGCATGTAAAAAATAATCTTCTCATAGCCGAGGAGCACACAAGGGAGGTGTAGGATTGGTAAGACACCTAAAAATTAGCTAGCATTTGTTGCCCTCAATGCAGAGAAAACTAAGCGATACCTTAAAAGGCAACTGAGGCAAAACAGGAGAAGGGGACCGGAACTAGAGAACAGGTTAGATCAAAAAATAATTTAACTAGGAAGGTAACCCACATGCACAGGAAATCATGTTGCAAATCAACGGCCCTGTTAGCTATCCTTATCTTCAACTGCAAAAACCCTTGTTCCTTCCTATATTGGCTTATACTCTCTCTTCAACAAAATTAGGATAAGGCAAATAGTTTTCTGCTGGGTATTGAGGGGGTAGGGGAGAGAGGAGGGGGCAGAGTGGGTGGTAAAGGGAGGGGGTGGGGGCAGTGGGAGAAATGACCAGGATTGTATGCACATTATGAATATAAAAACAATAAAAAAAATAGTCACTTCTCATTTGGTTGTTATTTCAGGGAACATCAGGAACAACTTTTGCCCTGTTTTTTCAACAGCATGAGTACCCCTTAAAGCTAAGAAAACTGATCTAACAAATACCATCTTAAGAAGAAGAAAGAAAACTTGGTTACTTCACGATGCCCCTGAATCTCATGATGCAGCTCTTTTTGCTCCACAGAAACAATCCCTCCCATCATCATGATTCATTCCCAGGTTTATGTCCCAGCCATGAGGCAACGATGGATGCAAATGTCTCCACAGTGATTTGCCCAAACGGTCCAAACACAGGAAGGGTTTACTGATAGTTTCCGCAACAAAAAGAAGACATTTGCTTCTCAGATTTATTTTCACTTAACTGTATAATAAGCCAAGCATCCAATAACAGTCCTTATACGTTCAGTGTTTAAAAGAAATTGGGAGGGACTTCACATTTACTGAAAATGGAGATGGATCCATTAGTTGCTTAAAGGAGATGGATCCTTTAAGCCACTAATCACTTTTAGCATCAGATTATCATGGTTGTTTATGGAAAACGAATTGATGATGAAATTTAAACTCTCTCTAAGGGACCCTGCTTCCCACATCCATAAAAAGATGCAAATAAAATACATAGAGATACTAGAAAACTTGATCTAGTCTTTTTAGGGAAAAAACACATCTGCTGCTCCTACTGTAGCTCTTCATATATACAAAATATTTTTTAAAGGATTAGGGGAGAGTATAGCATTAATAAATGGGCTTGATTGTCCTTTCGCAGACATCCAAGTTGAACCTCAAACATACCACATAATCCCGCCTGCGTGGCCTCCTTGAACACACAGTTCCCTACAATGCCATTCCTTTGCCAGTCCCACCAAAGCCTTTCTTTCAAATGAAAAAGGTAGAAGTTATAAAGTGCACTTGCGAGAAAAGGGAATACATAGTATATTGTATTATGTATGTATATGGATAATCTTAAACTGCATTGACAAACCTATAGAAAACTGGGGAAAAAAACTGCCAAAGATAAATAACATTTTAACAATCAAGAATATAGCCTCTTGCTTATCTTCCCTTTTTCTCGAGAATAAGACTAATATTATAATGCATATTTTAAATTTTTCAGACAGTATGAACAATACTTTAGATACAAAGCCAGTTTTTTTGTTTGGGAGGGGGTTTTACCTTTTGAATGAAAACCTTTTCTGAAAATGTGTTTACATTTATTTTTTTCAAGTGGGGAGATAGGCAATGCAGTGGACACTGTCACAGGAGCTGCAAGGCACTCAGCACAGTGAGCAAGAAGAATCACTATGGTTGTCAGGGACTGTTCCTCAACATGCCCAGCACCCTAGTGTCTCAGGACCTGCTCCCCCTGCCTAAAGGTCCCTTCCCAGAATATTTCCTCACCTGCTCCAGGTCTTTATTCAAAAGACTTCTCAGCAAGGCTTGCCCTGGTCATCATGTGACCTCAACATTCAATTTCACTCCTCCAGTACATTTATATCTACTCTCCTTCCCACTTATCATTACTTAACCAACTACATATACTTATTTATATCATTTATGGCTAATCTCTTCCACCAGAATACAGACTCTGGGAAAGAAGGAATTTTTTGGCTGTTTTGGTCACTGCTATCTCCCAGTGTCTAGGATAAATACCCAATAAATATTTTTTTAACTAGTGGGTAAGTCCTTCTTCAGGGCATCCGACTAGTCTGAAGATGACAACTGGAGACAGTAAGAAGACTGCCAAGGAAACATTCCAGCCAGAACACCCTATGGTGAACCCCATAGTCTGCAAGACCCACTCATTTATTCAAAGATTCCAAAAAGCTTTTTAATACCCCATTCTTAACTACAAAGGCTCAAAGATCACTCAACATGTGAGAAAGTTCTCCAATAGGACAGACAGAGGCAAAACAGAGAGGGGAAAGATAGCTTGGCAGGTATGGCTGGACAAGGCACAGTAAGTACACTCAGTGCCTGCTCCTCCAGTCTCTTGTGAACCAGAGGCATTTTCAGTGGGATAAGGATACCTGCATGTATAATTTTACTGAAAATTCATTTGAAAAGCCAGGACAAGCCTTTGTGTTATGTGTCCATAAAAGCCTTATGCAAGGCATTTTCAGTTTGCTTGGTTTCACATCACCCACTTCACAGGAGAAAAACAAATTAAAAGGGGGAAAAAAAATCTAAGGACCAAGATAGCAACCAAAGAGCCAAGTTAAAAGGAATCCCAGAAAAAATGAATTAAAAAGAAAATAGAAGATGAATTCATCTTACAAACAATTCAGAAAGATGGCTAAACCTGATGGCATGG